TACATGCAATTTACATAACTAATTGAAAAGGCATTCAAAATGTTATGTTTGAAAAAGTAAAGACTGGTGATGGATGTGCTGTTTTGCAAGATGTTTCCCATGGCATTTTACGCTGGATGCGTGCATTTAATGGATTTCTCGGATCATACTATTTTCAATTCCTGTGGGTTCTAAATTGAAGAAATCTTTTTACAGATTTAACATTTTCACTCAAATAAAGACTAGTCTCTGATGATGTACACTTGACTTGTGAGAGTTGGCTTGGTAAGACAGACTGTATAATGACAGACACTGCCAGACACATTTGGTAGTCAAACGGACCATTAGTCTGTGATTGGCTCTGATGCCCAAGTACTGTTCTGTCTCATGCAGGTGTGCTGTTGGTGTCAAGGACAAAACCACACCACAATGCCCAGAAAAAAAGAGGACTCTCCCACTGACCGCAATGATAACCCTTGTGACCTTCCAAATATTATGAAAAATACCACTCCAGCAAAGCCGCATTTAGTTAAGTCAAATATGGAGGAAAAAGAATGTTGTGCACATTTTATTTTTAAAAGTTCAAAAGTCTAAAAATGTCTAAATCTAAAAAAGTCTAAGTCTTTTTTTAATACTGCAAGTAATCATCAGTGTTTATCTAAACAATAAAATGAGCAAAACTCCATTAGTTACGTAGGGTTTAAGCTTAAAACAAGTAAAAACAAAACAATCTGCTTGTAGTGTGAGAACAATACACTTAGAGGTCTAATCAAGATATATTCTCTGAAAACAAGTCATAACGTACTATCTCATTTTGCCTATTGTATTAAGGATATTTAGATACTTTACCGTAAAAAAAAGAAAAATAATGATTAAGAAAATGATTTTTAGCAGAGAAATCTTTTTGGCACATGCAACATTCAACTGTATCAATACACAGTATCATGTGTCTGGATTAGTGGTTGACCGATATATCGCCAAGGCCGATATATCAGCCGATATTTGGCCTTTTTCCAATATCGGCATCGGCCGATACGTTTTTCTGTTTGGCCGATGCGTTCGTGGCAGGACTTTTATTTTGACGGCGCTAAAAACGGCAGCACCTGAACACACAGTGCTCACATTCTTCCTCGTTCGCTGTCGTTGTTAACAGTTAAATTCTGTTTAATAATCAGATAGAACTGTTAAACAAAATAATTAAAATGTATACAAAAAAGTATTATAACGATTACTTTTATATTGTTAGTAATAGAAAGGCAAACATTATAATACTTTCTTGTTTACCGCCAGCATTCAACAAATACACATTTATATAATTTAAACAAATCTTTGAATGACTAATGAACATCTAATTTCAAAAACCTTGCAAACTTAGTCGAATCCAGCTGTGAGATCTTGTGAAGTATGCATGTGACCTGCATGATCGCGTGTTCTCTGCGTGACAGTCGATCCGTGAGAATTGAATGCTGACAGGAGGAGAGTTCAGCTTCACTGAGACGCGCGATCGACAAACTTTAAACTCGTGATTTCAAATTATGCTGCACTTCATGTTTTTGCCCAATGTCATATTAATGTCATTTTCACTGTGTGCTGTATGTAAAATGACTGTTACCTTGGCTTTATTTGAAAAAATATGATTCCCAATTCACACAAACTTCCCAGAATACTGAGTGCCCTGTTGGTTACAGTGTTTACTTCCTTTTAAATTATATTTTTATTAAATGTTTGTTTATTTGTGATATATTTATTTGTTCATTTAAAGTATTTATTTTACACATTTATTTTTTAATCCATTTTCAAATGATTTAAAATGTCTTAAATATTAAATAAAATAAATAAAATTATATCGGCGACCACTAGTCTGGATAGCAGTGGAAAATTGAGTGACATCACTGTTTACACTTGAATTTACTATTTAAATTGACATTTGTATAACCTTTTATAAAACAAAAAGCAATATAATTTTTTTTAACCACTGTATTTATAATTAACACAATTTATTAAGACAAACAACAAATATTTTTTTGTTTTAACAATAAAACACAATAAAAATTAAACAAATATCTAATTTCTAATGTTTTATATGCAGATTAAATAGGTATTTTTTTCTCCCGAGGCTACAGGAGGGCGCAATGAGCACCCGAAGCACCATTCACACAGACTGCATTTAAAAATACATGAGACGCAGTGAAAAGGAATAAAACCTCCACAAATTCGTGACATGTTTTCTAAAAGTTTAAACTGTTTTAACTTTGCATGGCTTTCTATACATCTCTTGTGTGAGACGCGAGTGCAGCAGTCATATTTGCCCATCTAAAAATGCTCTAAATATATGCGTTCTGTGTGAATGGCTTGGTTTCGGTTTTAACACATTCAAGATCTTCTCTGCATTGAGCTTCTATATTTCTCTAATATTTTGAATGCATAACACAGCAGAGGCACATCTCGTGGGCTAGACTAACAAAACACTAAAATGCAACAACGTCACTTACATCACTGCATCTCGCGCACCTCAAAATTCGACTAATATTCATTCTTTATTCACAATCTCCTCATCACAGGCAGGCACAGCACTCATTTCAGCATGTGTTCGTGTTTGTGTGTGCTGTCTGCATCACTCATGCCTATATCGTGCGCTATTTCGGAAAAATATTGAAGAAGGTGTACCGTCGATAAATATCGATACCGGTTTATCGCCCAGGCCTAGTATTTACATACATGTTGTCTCAGAAGTGACCACTTGTGATCGGACTTTGTTAAGGGGAGTAGGCTTGCCGCGATAGACGGTGCTGACGGTGATAAGCCGCAACATAGGTTACGTCTCCTGCCCACAGCATCACCGACCCCCACCGTCATTTAGATTTTTTTGTAGGAATATAGTAATCAAAATTATTTAGTTCAGTAAAAGAACAGACACTACAATTAAAAACTGAACGCGGCTGCTCAATGCAGTTGAACGACAGTTGCATCACAGATCAGATTTAATTTCT